TGCCATTGCTGCAAGGAAGAATATTTGTTATATATATATATACTTTTGGTTCGGCAAATTGCAACCAAAATACGAGATGCACATCTACATCTTGTAGCAGTCCTATATACAAAATTAAGTTCTGAGGCTACTCATTTTTGAGTTATGCGAAATACGTGCGTACGTACGCACAGACACCACAAAAATGGTAATTATAAAACTTTAAATATATATGAAAATTTGTTAAACTTTTAATATATGAAAATTTGTTTGTTTCTATATCTATATTAACAATTCATTTTAAATCAGTTTTATAATTTTTGGCTAAATCGCAGAATAGGCTGCATCAGCAGATGCTGTGTTTACTTCTCTTATGCTTGGACACGCCTTTTTATGACGTAATATTGGTTACGCCTCTCCTTAAAAACAAGTTTTAAGTATGCTATAGCTTCGTATTTAAAGAAAACTTAAATAAAGTTTTAACTGAGTTGAAATGGTAGGTTTATAATGTTCTGATCGAGATTTTTTTAATTATAAAACTACTTTTGTGTGGTGTGTGGTAGTGTTAGCATTTAACGCAACGAATTATCTCTGACAAATGTATTATTAAGATACCAAACGATTGAAAATGATCATTATCAAACGATTGAAAATATTGAATGCATGAGTTAAAAATTATAACCGTAACTTCTGAAAATACAGAAAAGAATTCTTTTGCTTAAAGAATGTTTTGATTATTGATGAGTGTGTCAAAATCCGTGCTTACTGCAGAATGGATGAGTATCTGAATCTGGATTTTTTTTAATCAGTTGGAGCGAAGAGGCAAAAAGAGCGTTATTGAGTGGTGTATGAAGAAAAGTTTGATTGCAATATCGTATAAGTGCCCAATTTGTGGAACAAACATGAAACTAGTAGAGAGACGGTTTTCAGACGTATAGACGATTTTGCGCAATGCCGAGTTCGTGCAACTCTGAGATTTTTTTTAAGTGAAAATAGATCGATGTGCACATGGGCAAAGCCAGTGTGGTGCGCAATGCCGAGTTTGTGCAATTCTGGGATTTTTTAAGTGAAAATACACCGATATGTACATGAGCAAAGCCAATGTGGTACGCAATGCCGAGGTTGTGCGCGATGCCGAGTTTGTGCAATTCTGGGATTTTTTGAAGTGAAAATAGATCGATGTGCACACGGGCAAAGCCAATGTGGTGCGCAATGCCGAGGTTGTGCGCGATGCCGAGTTTGCGCAATTCTGGGATATTTTTTGAAGTGAAAATAGAGCGATGTGCACATGGGCAAGCCAATGTGGTGCGCAATGCCGAGGTTGTGCGCGATGCCGAATTTGTGCAATTCTGAAATGTTTTTTGAAGTGAAAATTCAGATCGATGTGCACATGGGCAAGAGCCAATGCTAGTGCGCAATGCCGAGTTTTGTGCAATTCTGAGTTTGTGCAAATCTGTTTTTTTTTAAGTGAAAATAGATCGATGTGCACATGGGCAAAGCCAATGTGGTGCGCAATGCCGAGTTTGTGCGGTGCCTAGTTTGTGCAATTCCATGGAATGTTTTTTTAAGTGAAAATAGATCGATGTGTACATAGGGCAAAGCCAATGTGGTGCGCAATGCCGATGTTGTGCGCGATGCCGAGGTTGTGCCCGATGCCGATGCGCGATGCTGCCCGATGCGCAATGCTGAGGTTGTGCAACTCTGAGATTTTTTTTTTAAGTGAAAATAGATCGATGTGCACATGGGCAAAAACCAGTGTGGTGCGCGATGCCGAGTTTGTGCAATTCTGGGATGTATTTTTAAGTGAAAATAGATCGATGTGTACATGGGCAAAGCCAATGTGGTGCGCAATGCCGAGGTTGTGCGCGATGCCGAGTTTGTGCAATTCTGGGATGTTTTTTTGAAGTGAAAATAGATCGGTGTGCACATGGGGAAAGCCAATGTGGTGCGCAATGCCGAGGTTGTGCGCGATGCCGAGTTTGTGCAATTCTGGGATGTTTTTTTGAAGTGAAAATAGATCGGTGTGCACATGGGGAAAGCCAATGTGGTGCGCAATGCCGAGGTTGTGCGCGATGCCGAGTTTGTGCAATTCTGGGATTTTTTTTAAGTGAAAATAGATCGATGTGCACATGGGCAAAGCCAATGTGGTGCGCAATGCCGAGGTTGTGCGCGATGCCGAGTTTGTGCAATTCTGGGATGTTTTTTTAAGTGAAAATAGATCGATGTGCACATGGGCAAAAACCAGTGTGGTGCGCAATGCCGAGTTTGTGCAATTCTGGGATGTATTTTTAAGTGAAAATAGATCGATGTGTACACAGGCAAAGCCAATGTGGTGCGCAATGCCGATGTTGTGCGCGATGCCGAGTTTGTGCAATTCTGGGATGTTTTTTAAGTGAAAATAGATCGATGTGCACATGGGCAAAAACCAGTGTGGTGCGCGATGCCGAGTTTGTGCAATTCTGGGATGTATTTTTAAGTGAAAATAGATCGATGTGCACATGGGCAAGCCAATGTGGTGCGCAATGCCGAGTTTGTGCTATTCTGGGATGTTTTTTTAAGTGAAAATAGATCGATGTGCACATGGGCAAAGCCAATGTGGTGCGCAATGCCGAGTTTGTGCAATTCTGGGATGTTTTTTTAAGTGAAAATAGATCGATGTGCACATGGTCAAAGTCAATGTGTTGCGTAGTGCTGAGTTTGAGCAATTCTCTGATTTTTCTTTTAAGTGAAAATAGATTGATGAGCACATGTTGTGGAATTCTTTGATGTTTTTCGAGCGAATACTGATCGTTGTGTAGAAGAGAAAACGAGGTTGTGTGTGATGCCGAGCAGTAATGTAACTTTATTTATGTGCAATGTTTAACATATCGTTAGTGTATTTTAAATTTGTATTGTTGTTTTAATTGTGAATTATATTTAAAACGTCATTTTTCATTTAAATTGTATTTTAAATTTTTTTGGCTTTGATATGTTTATAACGCTTTCCGACTTACGACATATATCGATAGCCCTACGATCTACTCAACAGTAGCAAAATTGTTAACTTTAACTCTTGAAGTAACGTTTACCTCATATTTTAATACGTAGTGTTTGGTATCGTAATTGCACTTGATGAGTTCATTGATAATATGTGTGTATGTGCGTATGTGAAGCATTGCTTAGTGTTTCCAAGTTTGTAGTATTATTTTATTATATTATTTTCTTTCATTCTGAGAAATTAGATTTTTTTTATTTATTAATGCGTAGAATTCTAGCATGCCTACACAGAATATGGCGTGATTTAGGAATTTTAGAAACTGATATGAAAGCTGTGTAATGATGTTCATATGCAATAAAAATATTCTTCTTTTTTTATTAATGTAAAGTTTAAATTTTTTTAGAAATAATGAAAATTGTCTAATTATTGGTATGTAAGGAATTATGTCGTTACGTAGCAAGAAGGTAATTTGTAAAAATGATAAAATTGAAACGTTCCACAATATGAATTTAAATTTAAGAAAATATTTTATTTGTATAAATAAAAAAATTAATAAAAATAATAATAATAATTTAATAAAAATCTTTGAAAATATTGAAGCTCTACAAGTATTAGAGACTGCGACGTTGTTTATCGTTTTAATAATTGGTAGAATTCGCTCACTGTATCATGGTAATTTTAAATATAAACAATTTATTATACTTATTATCAGTAACGCCTAAGGTTAAATGTAATAAATATAACTTAAAAGTAAAGAATTTGATATTAATTTACAATAATAAACAATTTATTATTGTCATTTTTAAGAGAACATAGAAAGCACACGTAGTGTAAATGCGAGACTGCATTGTGACGTCATAAGCTTAGTCCCACCCATTTATGGACGTCAAGCAGCTCCTCCTATTGAACTTTGTTGATGCAGCCTATTCTGCGCTTTTACCAATGTAAATTAAAAGTAAAGAATTTGATATTAATTTACAATAATAAACAATTTATTATTGTTATTTTTAAGAGAAAATAGAAAGTACACGTAGTGTAAATGCGAGACTACATTGTGACGTCATAAGCTTAGTCCCACCCATTTATGGACGTCACACATAGCTCCTCCTACTGACTGACTGACTGATAACTTATAGCCAGAATACCACTGAGATCAGTAGTTTATCTGGCTCAATCAAATTTATGCCGGATGGGCACAGTAACATAGAACTATCTTCACATAATGTCCGCAGTAAGGAGGAGAAAGACGGATAAAGAATAGGAAGACCAGCAACGCAAGAGCAACTACTGAAGTACACGTAGTGTAAATGCGAGACTACATTGTAACGTCATAAGCTTAGTCCCACCCATTTATGGACGTCACACATAGCTCCTCCTACTGAACTTTGTTGATGCAGCCTATTCTGCGCTTTTACCTTTGGGAAAAGAGTCCTTTATTCTGTCCTTATGTACAGATGCCACGCAAAAACATCGTTAAATTGCATTCGATAGCGGCCAAAATAGATATTTTCATTGAAATATGATAACCGAAATTTTTCGCGATTACAATACTTCCTTTTTACTTCGTACAAGGAAGCAATAAACACTTCAGCCGTTAGTTCTTTGACAGATATTCCAGCTTTAACCTATTCGGCCACCATTTCTTCATAAGCTCGTTATTCATCTATATCTATATTAACAACAATTTTATCATAATCCAAGTTTTTTGTATTTGCAGTCAGTCATACTGATAGAAAGTTTTTCTTTGAAGTTACCAACAGTGAGCCAAGTATGTTAAACGCTTATATTGCTTGCGAATAACAGTTTTTTTATCTACAGCATAGGCATGCACTGAATACTATAGCATTATAACACAAAGTGGATTAAGGTACAGAACAGAAGCTGCGATTAAGTAATAATATAATTTCTAGCGCTAATTATTACAATTAAAATTTTAATTACTTTAAATTATATTAGTATGAAACCTAGACTGCAGGGACGAATTTAAAAGCCGGATTAAATGAGTTAAATGAGATTTTATTGAAGCTTGTATTCCTTTCAATAGGTTCTCGACATGGAAGTTGCAACAAAATAATGTTTGTCAGCCGCCAAGATTGGAGAGCTCGCTTGCCTGTAAGAACGTTCCCTATGGCTTTACCTGTCAGCGACGTTATCATATTCGACACAGTTTTCGGAGAGTGCCACAACACAGCTGCTTGCATACGCAATGTGCAGTTCCTCCAAGATTTTCATATGGATGATAAAGGTTTAACTTTCTTTTCCTTTCTGAATTGGTCTCATTGTGCAAACTGTAGCACTTGCTTGTAATCCACCAAATAACGATGCAATAGAAGCCGTATACAATTGCGACAATTTGCGTGATTCATATTTCGTTTCCTTTCTAACAATCACGTACTTTTTCGCAGATTGCTCTTCTGTTCCCTGAAGATGCTGTCTCGGTATTCCTTCAATATACCGGCTGATCCAAGTAAAAATGCGTTCTTTAGTAATTGGACATTATAAATAAATCGCATAAATGATAGTACTATACTGAAGGAAACTAGTAGGAAAATATCGTAAATAGGAATTTATTTTACAAGCAAACAATATAAAACAATATTACAGAAGGGGCTCAAAATACCCTCCTTGGACTCCTTGCACGTGAAATCACAGTCTGATTAATCTTGCCCCAGATATAAACGCCAAGTGTCACAATAGTGTTGCGTGCGTACGGATTCGTTACGAAATGAATGCACAAGTCCGATGAAAAATCAACAAAATTTATTATTATCACAAAAAAATGCTTAAATTTCCTCAGATATTCGGGGAGTATTACAATATCTCACAGTAATTATCTTTTAACTACTCAAACGTTCAAGATAACTTCATTCAAAACAGCTAAAGAAAGCTAATCCGCGAATTTGCTACAATCAACAAGAGCAGTTTTCTAAACAAACTCTTTAAACAACAACTAACTACGAATTAAGAGGTTTTCATGCCGCTTATATAAGCTTTTTTAAATGCGCGAGAATTTTCTAGCACTTTCTGGAAATCAAAGAGATATATTTATTTATTAAATGTTAAATGCACGTGCTCTTGTATTTTTAATTTTCCGGCTTAGCTTTCCTTTAATATTCGTCACGCGCTGCACTGCATGGGGAATAAAACAATTTAATTTATAAGTCATTAGCTGTTTAAATACCAAATTCGTAACAATAGGTTCACAAATGTTCTCTATAAGTAAATCAGTGTTTTGGAACTTAATTTTACAGACATTTTCTTTTCAGATATCTCCAGAGATAAAAGTCACATGAAATCAAATTCGAGGAACGTGACAGCCATAAATATTTGCCTGCTAAGGGTTGTTAATTCTTCATACGCGTTTGGAACCAAGGTTAATAGACAGACAAATGCTCTTTCAAGTTCAAGATTTTCTCTTTCCAAAGATTGAGACAGTGACGTATCTTATCTATGCGTTCAGATTTACGAATCAAGGACGCCGACCTCACCATGATGGTTGACCTTCTTCAAGAAGAACAAATCTTGTAGTATAGTAACCTCGTTTTGAAAGTGGAAAACTTAAAAGATGATGATGCTGAGGAGTTGTCCTTCCACTACCTATCAGCTGGCGATTAAGAAAGACCGCTCATTCATTGGTCTTTCTTCTTATTTTTTTCTTTCTTCTTATTTATTTCCCTGGTCACAGTGTTTCCAGGGAATTGCTTTTGTTAATTTAAGAAAAGAGAATTATGCTTCTGCCAATTCTAGTCCGAACAAAGACTTTTGCAAAGAGTGTTTGACAAGTGCATAAACTAAAGAAGCAGTCGTACATTGCCCGGAATTTCCACCAAATTCATTTTATTGAATTACTATACAAGCCATAGTCCTCAATGATTGTTATATCGTTATACGGATTAATTTTAAACGGTATTGATGTATGCCAGTAAAGTCCCAATCACATTTTGTTTCGGCTACGCGGGGCTTGACGTCGAAAGGGAGAATTCTCAGAACCCGTACAATTTCAAGAAAACCACGCAGCTAGGTTACCATTTTCACTTACTACAAAGAGTTGAACGCCAAACACTAGTCGATTATAGCTAAGATTGGGATCACGTGAGGCTTCAGAAGCAGAACTTTCGTCTGATTGGGTCTCTACCCGGGACTGAGGTCCAGCCGAGACATTTTCGGTGAGGTTTGAAAAAATCCCGGTAGCCGCAACATTGTTTCCGTAGCTAGGCGGGACTTCGCTTCAGGCGGGGCTCTTTTTTCTAGGGAATCCTCCCGTTTAAACCAGTGCTGCCAGAAATCTCGTTTCTCAGAAAAATTCCGTTTAGCAGGGACTGTAGCCATGACTGATAACCTCTTAAGATATTATGGCACAGAGGAATCAGTCTTTTGTAAATTTGAGTTTTAAGAACGGTGGTTTTCTTATTGGTCTTATAGAGTTTAAGGTGTTTTACTATCATGCACACTAAGTAACCTCTTTAATAAGACTTGCTAGCGACTTACCGCTAGCCGTTACAAACACGAACGAAGGTTGCAAAAAGATCCTTTTATCAAACTCAAAATATAGAACAGAAGGCACTCCTGGTGCTTATAGACTCAGCCAGCATTTATAACTATAACAAAATACGAATTTCAAATTTTAAACTAATTAGAAAGGCTAAGCAGAGATATTTAAGGAGAAAGTTGGCTTTTTTTTTTTATACACGGGTGTGAAGACGACTATCGGCAGGATTAATTAATTCCGTAGACAGGAACGCTTAGCTTATGATAGCAAATTATTAACGTGGCCTTCAGCAGGCAGAACACGCTCTATCTAAGTAGTCTACAGCCTTTAAATACTATTTTTTTCTATCTCATGAACATTCTGGTAGGGAAACAGAAACGAGGAGTGACAGTAAATATCGAAAACACAAAATAACTGGTTAATAAAAAATAATAGTTACTTTTTTATAACCTCAAGAATTCACATTTACTGCCTTCCGTTTCTGCTAAACTAATAATTAAAAACTCAGTGTTCGAAGGATTTCCATTATATGCTGCCCAACAACTGTTATTCGTTTAATTTACAGTGACATTAGATTTTTTTTGGTCCTGAGAAAGAAATGGGAAAATTCCATTATATTTTGCTGGAATTCGAACCACAGTTTTTCCCTTTGCCTGTTGGACGGGTTACCCATTGCACTACGAGAACATGTACAGAGGAAGCGACGCAAGCTTTTTATAAGGAATTTTTTTTTTCGGAGCAAGTAACGGGAAAAGGCGAGTATGCTTTGTTTGGTATTCGAAGCAGGTATCTCCAACTGTTAACTGGATGTGGTACCATTCACACCACAAGAGTACGTTCGGACGAATGCGATGATTTCTTAAAAACTAAGGAAAAGCTTATAATTTTTATACAGCTCTTCGCGTACTACAAAAGTTTGTGCAGTAGTTAGTTCAGAAGTGTTGCTTACATATACCTAATAATCGTCTCTGGTGCAAGAATCTCTCTTTTAAATTTAAATATTTTTGTAACACTCCTAAAAAATAAGAAGAAATCCTCTCCTATTTTTGTATTTCAGGCTGGTGGGACATCGCATACAGCTTTCTGATTGGAGGAGATGGTCGCGTGTACGTTGGTGTGGGATGGCACAACGCAGGAGAGCACACAATTAACTACAATACTATTTCCATCGGTGTGGCATTTATGGGCAACTTTAGTAGCATCGCACCTAGCGAGCAAATGATAGCTGCTGGAAAATATCTAATTGACTGCGGAATTGAAAAGGTAAGATCCGTAATATGAGAGACCTCGCTAATAGTTTATAATGAGTATTTAACCCTCTCAGCGTTACCGACGGATTATTCTGCATTGAAAGATGGCTTTCCAAATCTTTAAGGGCTGTTCACACTGGGGTTTATCAGAGCATGAAGTATACGACCTATCCCCAAAACAAGTTTTTCACCATAAGGCAGCGAGTTGAAAAATCTGAACTGCAAGCACAGCAGAGCTAGTCTACACAGGGTACTGACTCCGTTAGCTCAGATAAACCGCAGTGTGAATGGCCCTTTACACACCGAGTATTCTGTCATCTCTTAATAGATCCGAAATCGTTTCAAAGGTTTTTTTTCTGCGTTGCATTTTCCTTCTCGAAATCGTTGAGAACGGAATATTCTGTACTGCCGTTCCTCCGATCTCCTGTTTCGTTTAATTGGTAGTGGGGAAACATCGATTGTTAGAAGAAAGATGTTATAATGCGAGGGTCATAAATAAAGATCTTAAATCCAGCCGTACCATCTGCTGACCTGAGGGCGATTTTCATTTCTTCTGCAAAAGAAAATGTAATTTGTACAGAACCCATGAACAACTTTTAAAGAAATTAGTATCACCTAATTTACAAATAATTTCTTTTACCATGGAATAAATACTTAAGCAGGTATCTTACAATGTCTGCAGAGACACATAAATTTGAGATAATTTTTATTTTTAGCCTTGATTTAAGGTACTATATTTTTAAACTAACACTATAACAATTCACAAAAACAGTTACTTCAATATGTATTTTCAATAATTGTTCTGAAATGAAAATGAGATTTTTGAAAGAATTCACATTAAGTAATTCCATTTTAAACTTGTACAGTTGCGCGCCTCCAACCTGCACGCAACCAAGAGGTGACTGTTGAAACTGGAATGTAGACAGAGTCTTGCTAAGGGTTTAAGTCCCTTTTTATTCAACTTAAGAAATTACAATTGCGTGCTCTTGACGCTCACAAACTACGCCGACACGGCGGTAAAATAAAAATAAGAACCTGAAAAGAAATAATAACAAGACTCTAACTACGAGGCTCTCTAAACGTAACTAACCTCACCGCGTTTTACAATACGCTGCTAATTCAGCAAACTTTGAATATCACGTTGAACGATTAACAATTCTCCGAGGCAAGCACACAGGCCGAAACGCGGGGTTCTTCAATTTCTGGCTAACTACCTCCGCGCTCGTGAAGTAAGAACAGCACACCTCGAACTCGTTTCCATTCTATTTAACTCAGAATACTTCCGCTGATAATTTGAATCCTTGCGCGTTCTACTAAAATTTACATACTCAGGCATTGGCAGTTCCAGGGGAAAGTAAGGCTTGACAGGAAAGATAGTTTAAACTTAAAATAAATGTTAGTTAAAATAAATATAAACCCTACAAACTAATGTATCATTTATATGTTTGCATCGAAATTCATTTGAGCATTTTATACATTGAAATATGAGGACTAGGTGCGTTTCATTAAAAAGTATTAAACTAACTTAATTCTTATGAGGATTAATAAGGATTTAGAACACATTACATGAATCTATAAACTTATTTCTAAACTTTGCAGGTTACTACTATCAAAGATACAATGCATTAGTTTCAGACTCAATATAATTCTTTCGCCATCGTCTTTATGAAGTAGCCCTACTTCATACAGAAGATGGCAAATAACTTTGTGTTGATGAACCTCCCTATACCTTTAAACAGTAAATAAGAACAAATAATAGGCTTCCCTAGAAGTGGTTCTTCCACCCGAAACTTTGCCCTTGTTTTCTAAATACTATTCCTGTAGTCTGAATTGATTCCATTACTTGCAGGCCCACCTACGGCCGAGCGGAAAAATTTCTCAACACTGGTAGTTCCAACACTGAACAATTTTTATGAAACTAGAGAACTCGGATGTAATCTTATTCAATATTTCAAGCCAGAAGACTGAATTATTCCATGTATTTCTGAACATGTAGATTAACAGAAAATTTCCTTTCCCAGACGTATATAACGGCTTTCCTTTATCTGTCATTGCCAATGAATAACTTAATCCCAAATAATCTTTTATTCAGCAGCTATTAAATCGTTATTACTTGATACATAAAAAGTCCCCAGTTAAATGATAATCATGATCTAATGTAATGGGGTTGTATACGGTTACAGAATTTGATTAGGTTTTACATAATTTCAATTAGAAATCCGTAATATAATTTTTAAATGTGAAATACAAGTAGATAAATGCATAGCGTAATGGCCAGAAGACCAGAAGAGTTTTCAATAAAACCCTGAAAAAAAATAAAAAAAAAAAGAAGATGGTTATTTACTAAAATACAACAAACCACTTAAGCAATTGAGGTTTCTTTGGACTACAGGATCTGGCCTAAGGAAGAGTTGCCTTTGTGGAGAAATTTTTATGGAAACCTAACTCATATGCACGTTACGTACGTGGAAAAGGGAAATGTTTTAAACAGACTGCCATCGTCCGCTAGGATCCAAATTTGCACCACATCACAGGCGCTTAGCGCTCACTAACTTTTAGAGAAAAAAAAAGTAAAAAATCTAAAAGCTTTTCAGATTTTATATTACGCCCAAAAGGGCGTTTCTTTAACGTTTTGTGTGTTACCTTTATTTATTAAATATCATGTTCTTCGCTCTTGAACCATAAAATTCGATTCAACAGCAATATCACAAACTACAAAAGAGCATGTCTTTAGAATTTCCGATACACAGTTACGCGCTGGAGATAAAAATGTTGTTGTTTTTCTTTCCTTACAGTTGTTACCCTTGCTCGCTTTGAAATTCTTGAGTTTGTTAGTCGAAAATTCGTTAAAGTTTTACAAAATATGAAATAGACAATAAAAAAAATTCATAATTACAAATCTTTAAGGGCTTTCAGATACCCGGACTACGTTATTCAGAATTTTGTGTGTTTTTTCACAATGAGGAAACATACATACATTCATGCAGATTCTTTATTATTTAATTTCTTTAACTATAATGCCGGGCGATAATATTTGGTGGTAACAGTTTGAAAAGTGAAACGCCGTTAGTAGACGACGCAAAATGCGAAAACGAAATTAATAGCCTTTCTGGGCGAATTTCCTCTTTGAGCTAAAAAAAAAAGCTTATGGGTAAAATAAAAAGATCAAAAGAAAAGAAGAAATGCAAACAAGAGTGTACTTAAGTAGACAGAAACACGTAACAGCCTACGAATAACTAGAGAAGCAACAAATCTAGTTAAAAACTGGCTGCTTTGGCTTTTTCTAGATCCTTAAGAAACACATAATTGTGTTTGAAATGTTACTTGCTTAATACGGTTTATTTACTTAATTCCGGCCGTTATTTTTTCCATAATACTTTTCTTCCATTTCGATATTTTCCGTTGCCTTCAGCAGAATGCATATTAGCTAGCTCAAGTTTTAATATAAATAGTAGTTATTTTTGACTTTATGATTTCGGAAAATTTGACTATAAATTTGCTAGCTATTTTCATTGAGATTTTGATGAATAATTAATTATCTGTCTGCTTAAAATTAGGCACAAATGCAACCTTAGATTAGTGAGGATTTTGAATAAAAGTATTGATTTTGAGGGCGTGTCCAGAAGCGTAATATTATCTGCTCTTAAAAAAGAGGAATCTATGTAAGTCACCCACACCCTCGATAATCTCCCTTTTTCATTTGAAGAAAACGGACCTATGAGTGATCGCTCACAAAAGTAATGGAATTTTATTTAAAAATCTATGCCAATCTAAGATTGCTCTTTTGCCTAATTAAAGTTCTTTTTTGTCGCGTGTTTGTTCCAGTTCCAGTTATCTCTCTGTTCTCAATTTAACCTTATTTAGGGTATTGAAACAGAAACTTAAAAATTTCATTCCGTTCTTATTACATAAGTCATTTGAAAGTCATTTGTCTTCACAAGTCATTTAGAAATTTTACTGAAGACAATAGGTATCAGTAAAATTAGCCCTTTTAATTTGTATACTCTTTATAATCGTACGAATTCTTCTTTTACTTCATTCAAAAACTGAATATATCACGCAATATCCTCTTATGAAGCTTACGATTGTAATTTTATTAAAATTAATAAATAAATAAATTGTATTTAAAAAAAAATTCTGTTGCGAAAGCCAGTCTGAGTTTTCTATTCTTTTCACTTACGAAGAAGTTTTTCCTGGCTGCTCTACCGTGATATCCAGCAGATCGAATTACTCTTCTAATAGTCTCAGAATTAAAAATTACTCCATATAATGCTTGTAAATCAGCAGTAACTTTAGGAGCACTCATTCTTGGATTTTTTTAAATATTTCGAACAATAATTCGCTTTATTCCATTGGATAGCTTTGATGGTCGGCCAGGTCTTCTTTTATCCTGAATCATATGATTTTTTTATATCGTTTAATGATATTGAAAACGGTTGAATGACTCAAGTTAACTGTTTCAGCAGTTTCTCTAAGAGATTTTCCACGTTCTATATGCAAATTAATAACTAATTTTCGAATTTGAGGCAAAGTTTCTTTTCGTTTAGCATTCATGGCTGCACAGAGCTAAAAAACACAAAATTTCCAAAACAAACTGGAGAGAAATACTGCAGACGATTTTATAAATTATTGCCAATTGCTTTTGAGTAAAAATAAAAACCTCAAAAAATATTTTTATTGTAGTACGTAGTAGTATTTAATGGTGTCCCATCACTTATGTGAGCCATTTTTGTTCCGTTCTGAACAATTGTATTTTTATTAAATTAATATTTTAATATTTTGAGAAAATGTATCTTATGTAATAATTGTTACTAAATTTAAGTATGAAACACACCCACAAAAAATTTTTACATGTTTTTTAAATTTATTTTATTACAGTTGCCTTTTGTAAAGCACAAGTGTCACATCATTTTTGTGAGACACTGTATAAAGGGGAGTTTTGTGTGTTACCTATATTTATTAAATATCATGTTCTCTGCACTTAAACCAAAAAATTCAGTTCAACAATAATGT